TCACCCAGGACCTGTTTGCCTTGGGAGACCAGGGGCATATAGCCCCCGCCAACATAGCTCCTAGGATCACTCGAGTACTCAAACCCCTCCACCAAAATAAGGTGGCGGTTCAAGGAGGGGCATATCTTTACCATACTGCAAAACACCTTTTCAGTGTTATGTGAAGTTGAAAATAACATGGAACTGTGATGTAATGTTTGTTTTTACTGTTTATTACTTCTATAGGAGTATTTTCCTGTTTGATCTACACCACAATTTCATATATTTATATAACTATTTAGAGAATATGCTTATTCTTCTGATTACCAGTAGCAGCTAATCAACACATATAATTTACTGCTTTTTACAATGGGAGATGATGAATATTGAGAAGAATTAAGTTCAAGTTATCGTTGGTTCGGCCCTCCAACACAGTTCAGGTTTCTCATGTGGCCCCATGTAAAAATTAATTGCCCACCCCTGCCTTAACTGTTTTGGTGGTTGGTTTTGTCCTGCAGATCAGAGGTTTATAGCTCCACTGAGATGTGATCTGACATGCCCAGGTGTGGAGCTGCTATGGCCTTGTATGCTCCCAGGATATTGCAATAAACCTGATCCAGGATGTTATTGTCCCTGGTTGGAAAATTAATGAATCTGTAGAATCTGGAAAACACTGCTTTAAGTTCCACATGGTTAAAGTCTCCAGCCACAATCACAGACGCCTCTGGGTTTGCGTTCATCTGCCTGTTGATCAGGCAGTACAGCTCCTCCAGCGCTAATTTAGTGTTAACTCGTGGTGGTATATAGACGGATAAAATCAGGAATGACTGTTTGTGGATGCACGATCAGCAAAGTTGGGTTGTGAAAGGAAGTGAGTACTGAGGTACTGAGACTAGAGTAACATAACAGGGGCCATGTATATACATAATTAAAGCAGGGCAGAGATGGTGGATGAGACAGGACGACCAAGGGAGCAGACAGGGCAACAGCAGGAACCAGGACAGGAGGAGAACAAGGACGGACAGGGGAACAGACAAGCTAACCATGAGGATAGGCGAACGAAAACGGAACTCCACAGCACTGGAACTGTCAGCGTGGAGACCAAAAAATAACGTGTAGCTAACCTCACGGACAAGAAAACAAACAAAGCGGTCCACAGCACAGGAACTGTCAGCGTGGACATCTAACACACACAAAGAAACACAACCTACGTTCACAATGTGATCCATAGCACAGGACCTGTCAGCGTGGAAAACAAAGGACGTCTTGCGAAATGCATAAATAATGTTTATAAGGTCAAGCCAAAACGCACAGGAACTGTCAGTGTAGCATCTTACACACATAAATATACGTGGTAGAAACATAAAATTTGTCACATACTTAGAGTATGTAAGTAATGTACGTTAATGCTCCAGAAACGGCGGAGCGTCTGCCAGAGGTATAAATAAGGAGGAAACAAATCAGCGGGATGCACCCCAGCTGTGTGCACTGACAGACGAGTCGCTAATTACCGAAATGCAACACAGCTGAGGTGCAAAATCCCGCAGGTCGGAGAGAAAAGCGGAAGAGAGGCAGCGGCCGCCGAGTGGCCCTGACACTGTAGCACTGAGGTACTGAGACTATAGTACTGAGTACTGAGACAATAGCACTGAGGTACTGAGACTATAGTACTAGGTACTGAGACAATAGCACTGAGGTACTGAGACTATAGTACTGAGGTACTGACTATAGTACTGAGTTACTGAGACTATAACACTGAGGTACTGAGACTATAGCACTGAGGTACTGAGACTATAGTACTGAGTACTGAGACAATAGCACTGAGGTACTGAGACTATAGTACTAGGTACTGAGACAATAGTACTGAGGTACTGAGACTATAACACTGAGTTACTGAGACTATAACACTGAGGTACTGAGACTATAGTACTGAGTACTGAGACTATAGCACTGAGGCTAAACTTGTGGATGAACTAGTAGAAGAAGGTGTAATGAGTGGATGTCACCACCGGGAGGTGCATTAGGACTGAGAGATAACCAGCTGCTCATTGGTGACATTTTATTCCATCTAATTCTTTATTTGATGTTTCATTTTAAGGTCCTCTCACTGACACTGTGACCTTTTTTAAGACAGAAAAACAAGAAAAGCAGTTTAAATATAAACACAGGTTGCAACAGTTCTACAAACTGTGAGTCGTCCAGTCTTTTACAATCTTCTAGTGAAGCAAGTGATGTCAGTGTTGACCTTTAGCTGTGTGTCAGTCCTGTGATGGCCTGGCCACCTGTCCAGGTGCACCCACCTCTTGCCCAGTGTCAGATGGGGCTGGCTCCACCCCCTGTCCCCTCTACAGGTTAAGTGGTCTATAAGTGGTCACGTTTGCAGACAAAATGTGAGGAAATGTTAAACCGAAAACACCGGATTCCAGCATGACCCCGAGACATTAAACGTCAAAACAAAGACACACAACATGAAACTAAACAGTACATGAAGTCCAAAATGGCAACGCCAGAGGAGGCATCTTTGTTTGGAAAACAAATGTTCATTCTGGTGTTTCTCCACCAGATTGTCTGAAAGCCTCTCACCGTCCTCCTGTAGCACTCCGACACATGCTAACTGAGTCACTGCTTTGTCTCCACCCCTCCGCCCCGTGTCAGCACTGATGGATGGAGCTCTCTTAGATCCCTGCACTTATTTAATCATCCATCCATTATGCACCATTGATCCTGGCTGCCTCTCCCGGCAGACCTGCAGCCAGCTTCCTTCCCTTGTCAGACTCTATACCTCGTCCAGTGACTCAACATGAATCAGCAGGAGCAGAGGTCGAGCTTTTATCCTCTAGTAACGAGACTGTGGTTTGTCCTCATCCTGCAGGACGCTGTTCACATTTGACTCTCATGATTCAGCTGAATGAAGCTCTTAGGGCTCTATTTTGAGGATCTACAGCGTCTGAACAAGATGTATTGGCGCGAGTGCTGTTTGGGTGTGTCCATGTTCATTTTGGTCATTTGACGACGAGGAAAACAGTTCAAATGCCCGTGCAGGTAGCACAGGGCCTGTATTTGATCTCCTCATTAGAACAGGGGTGTGTTTAGGGCGTAACATGCAATTATCCAGTGTGTAACCTCACATTCCCTTTAAGAGACGTGGGAGTCTGAATGTTTGGCGGGTTGCTAGCATGTTGGATGTCAGTAATACCACTTTCCCACCAAAGGTATTGTGTATACATGGGTCTTTACTACCCGGCAAAACCGGCCTTTAACTGGCTTTTGACGACTTTCCCACTGCTGACCAACCCAGCCCGGCTCTCCAGTAGGCGAGCTTGTTTCCCCTCTGGTATGTTTACTTGAGCAATATCGAGCATTTTGATTTGTGCATGAGAACAGTAACAAGCTTCTTTTCCTTTCCCAGGCTTTAGCTAACCAGATCGTACATATAAGTGCATGCAGACTGCATGTATACATATATCAGTATATACACTGTTTAGATATGTGTGACTTGCTCTATCTCTCTCACTGTGGCTCTTAATAACCCTCCCTGTGCTGCAGCCCCACCGAGCATGCTCCAGCTTGTACCCACCCCATTCTCCAGCTGTTAACTCCTCCATGCAACCTCTGGCTCCCACCGACCCCGCCCCTCACAGGTAGCAACAGCTGTGAGCACATCTGGGCACCAACATGACTTGATTCTGCATTGATGGCACTGGAGCTGATGTTTAAACTCTGTTTCAGGAAGCGACAGTTTGGAGGAAACATGGAAGAACTGGTGCATTAAAATCCCTTATTAATCCAGGTTCTACTTATCTTGGTGACGTGAACTTATTCTTTCACTGCCGACTGTCACTTCCTACCGTCACCTGTGGGTTTCACTGCTTCAGCCCATATCGTATTAATAATTTCTTGACCCATGGTCTGATTGTAACACCGCCGTTTGTGTGAGTGTGGTTGTGCGCAGCCGCATCTGCTGCTGAGGACGTGTTGTGTTCATGTGCTGCTGGAGAAAATCCAACATCTGAGACTTGCATGTCTGTTGCTGTTTGAAGCCTCATGATGTGCTGATGGTGTACGGACTGGGTCATACTGTCTTATCAGAATTTAGGACAGTTGTTGTGTTTGTTTGTTTGTTTATTTTGGTGGCACCGGGAGTGTGATATCTGAGAACATGACATATTAACATCTCATAAAGGAGCATGTTTGCAAACAGCTGCCTACTTCTAGACCCAGCAGAGAGAGCTACATGTTCGTGTTGTGTCTCCCGATGAGCCTCAGCCCAGCGCGCCCTCTCTGTTCACTTTGGGTTTGGTCTCCACCACCTCCTGAGGGGAACCTCTGGCTATGGAGCTGCTAAATGCTCCACTGTGTTTCCCAGCTGGTCTCTGACTGGCTCTGTCCGCTGCTGAACAGGTCATGGGCAGCAGCTTTGTCTGAGCAGGTGGAAATGTACTGGAAAAGAAGCTGGACACAGACAGCCAGATCTCAAGTCTGTTACCTGTAATTAGACACAGGGAGATTTAACAAACCGAATAGAAAATGCAGATGTGCTACAAAGACTGACCTGAAGCGTCCCTGGCAGCAGGTGTCGTCCACAGCCTGCAGCTACAGGTGAGCTCTGCATGTTGCAGCTCGTCAGGTAACCTCCACTGTTGTCTCCACACCTGCAGCCTGAAGCATCCGTCTGCCGATGGCTACAGCATCCAGCACCACGCTGCAGTCTCCAGGTACACGCCTTTAGCCCGCTTCACGCTGCTGCCATTTCTACACGGCATAACACACCATCTGCCGTTAAACACAGGCTTCTGTTTCTAAAAGTCCTCACTGTACCATGAGTGGATGAAAGGCCTCGATATGCTTCAGGATACATTCCATGTTTTTCAGTGTCGTCTATCCAAACAGCATTTGATTTCATTGTAGAACGTGTATTTGGCTGCTTTAGTACACTAATAACAGCAACAAACAAAAAAGTGCCTGACTGAGTGAAGTGGATGTGATGGTCAGTCTGGCAATGCTGTGATGCTGTTAGACGATTTCATTCGAGCATACTGAGGCCTTTCTGTTCGGGACAGGGACCTCTAATGGGACTTAAACCCCTACCCCTGGCAGCATTGATTCATTGCTCAGCTCAGGACCATGTAACAGCTGAGACATAACAGATTCATCATTTCATCAGTAACATGTGAGTCTCATCTAACTGGCTCTGAAGCAACAAACTCCACCTGGCACACTTCATGGATTTGTTTCTTACCAAACTGCAGTTTTATCACCAGAGTAAATTAAAGTTGTTTTGGGGGTGGTTGTAATGGAGGCTTTGTGCTAACATTGTTTCACTGATGTCAGACTGGTTTCAGATTCTCTTCTGTCTTTTGTTTTTTCTGTATTTTGCGTACATACAAAGGTAACACCCACAGCCCAGTGATTTGGTGACAGAGTGAGGAGCTGCTACTGTATATACTATGGAGAACAGGTGTGCAGGATTAAGGTGCAGGTGAAACCACTGTGCGTGATGAGGTGACATACCAGGAGTCTGGGTGAACTGGGGGCAGGGAGGGGTAGGATCATGACAATCTGTTCTTTTAAAAGCATTTCCCTAACTATATTTCAGTGCTCAGGCATGTTTCACATCAAATTTGGTCACTGAAATGCCACCAAAACTCTGTTTTTTAACATCTCCTGATCCACAAATCACTTCATACTGGGATGTGTCTTGGCACATGAGATCCAGGTAAGTGTTGACATCTCATGTTGAAACTGCACAGGCAACGTGATGCTGTTGATAAAGTGCAAACTGCAGGAGGCTCAGGAAGATTTACTGTTCCACAAAATACAAAGATCAAATGCAGCAGCAGTTGTTTTTGCAGGATAGTTTTGTGCTTAGCAGCTGGAATCTAACCTCATTAAGTCATTAAGTTAATGCTAGCAGATCTCCCAGTTGAAGCGATGCTGTGGAGTTTTTACTGCAGTGTTTGACAAGTGGGCCTCCATTTTGTCTGTAGCACATGCATGGGGACACTGATACACACAGTACACAGTCCTAGAAACAGCGCCGAAGGTGAAGAAGAAACACACAGCCAGCCAGAGTCTATCTATCCATCAGCTGCATACGCTTATCCTGGTCGGGGGTGGAGCTGATCCCAGGCGACACTGGGCCAGAGGCGGGGTGCACCCTGGATAGGTTTGATTTGATTTGATTTGATTTATTCTTTCAAGCATGTAAAACAGTTGATATGACATCCTGCGTAATTTTACACATAATCCATTATCAATGTGCTTATACCTAGTACAGTAGGAAGAAGTCAGACTTATCCAGTCCTACCCCATGACATCATCTTACCATCATTGGTTTACAAGCGGTAAATTGTTCACTTCTACACACACACATATTATACTAAAAAAAGAATATAACAGTGTTAACATTCTTAAATCACACAAGTAATATACTAAAGAATGGTTACAAAATGTACACCACACCCACAATTGTCCATGTAATTAATCATTGAGCCTGTTCTTGCATATATCTTGATTGACACATACCTTTATATTTATGTTTAAACTCGTCAATTCTATTACTATTTTTTATGTCCACACTTAAATTATTCCATAGTTTTACACCACTTATGGAAATACAAAATCTTTTTTTGGTTGTACGTATAGCATGAATTTTTAAATTTAACTGACCCCTTAAATTGTATCCCCCTTCCCTTTCATTAAATAGTTTTTGAATTCCACCAGGTAATAAATTGTTCCTGGCTTTATACATAAACACAGCAGTCTTATATCCCACTAAATCAAAAAATTTTAACAATTTAGACTGTATGAAAGCTACATTGGTGTGATCCCTATACCCCATCTTATGCACAATTCTTATCGCTCTTTTTTGTAATATATACAATGGTTGAAGTGAGCTTTTGCATGTGTTTTCCCAGTTTTCAACGCCATACTCCAAGTATGGTAAAATCAATGAAGAATACAAAATACGTAGTGCTTTCCCGTCCAAAATATACCTAACCCTTGCCAATATCGATATATTCTTTGCTATTTTGTGCTGTTTGTGAAACCCAGATGTTTTATACTTAAATGGTGAGGGGCAGTTTGACCTTATGTTTGGAACGCCACGTGAACACAGCGTAAAAAAAACACAAAGTGAAATTAAAACAGGAGTGGTAGGTAGGATATCTGTGTAAAGTAACACTTTGTCCTCTGTGTATTTTATTGAGGAAAATTCAGGTTTGCTGACTAATTTATTTCGGATGTGTAGGATCATGTGCAGGCAGTGAATGACAGAGGAAAACAGTGTCGTCTTCCTCAGCAGTTGCTGTTGCTTTTCTGTCTTCCACTGGGTGGCGCTGTTTGCACAGTATTCAAACAAACCCTTGATTTGTTTTGTTTGTCCTGGCCGAGCAGGTTCTTCAGCTGACTTCAGCTTTAGTGTATTTACCTAAAGAATGACTCAGTTCATTTAAAAAGTTGCTCATAAATAAGCATGCTGGGCATTTGGGTTCAACAAACAGTAAAAAAAAGAAAGACACCTAACAGACAAAAACGAATAAGTGTTGATTTTAAAGAAAAAACATTTTTGCTCACAAATGCAAAGTTGTATATGAAGTAATGAGTTATAAAATCAAAACAGAAAGCATAGAAAGCCTTTAACATGCAGAAGACTTTAATGTAGAAGCATTGTTTTTATTGTAGATAGAATATTTAAAATATAAAGTAAAACAAAAGTCCTCAAACAAACATGGGTCTGATTGTTTCATTTCTCTGTATTGCCCTGTCTAAAAATTACATTTCAACTTAATTTTTACAGCAGTCATAAGACACACACAGAGAAAACTCTTTATGGAAATAGAAAAAAGACTGTTGAAAAGGTGCCCACTCTTTCATTAACCTGTCAGCAAAAAAGTGGTGTAGAAGATAATTATTTATGTAGAGATACTGCTTGTAAACCAATGATGGTAAGATGATGTCATGGGGTAGGACTGGATAAGTCTGACTTCTTCCTACTCCATTCAAGCATGTACTAGGTATAAGCAAATTGATATTGGATTAGCATTTGTTGGATATGTGTAAAATTATGTGTGTTGATATATCAACTGTCTTTACATGCTTGAAAGAATAAATAAATCAAATCATTTACTAATGCATTATAGATCTGTTATAAACATTCAAAGGTGTTGAGTTGCCATGTTGTGGAAAAGCCTCCTCCAGGACAACACTTTGTCCTTTCACCAGTGATCTTCTGCTCATGGGCTGATTATGATACAACAGGGCCCTGGGTGCAGATGTGTGAAAGACACCCCGCCCTTACTATAGGAGCAAGGCCCCCACACTAAATAAAGTCACAGAACAACTACAAACCATGCTGCCATGGAGTTTGTGACTGTTTTGGGTGTCATTCTGTGGTAACAGCAGCATTTTGTACCGGTTCGCTGTATCTCTGTAACCATTTTGTCTCATATTGGTCATTTTACATGTGCTTGTAATTTTTTACATCTATTTCTACAAGATTTGCACCTCTGTGTTCATTCTGTGTCTCTTTGTGGTTGTTTAGTGTCATATATTGTTCCTTTTGTGTCTCCCTGTGGGATACGTTGCAGGGGCCCCCGGGCCTGTACCTGCTAAGCCCATTCAGTGATCCCTCCTGTTGCAGCACATCTGGACCAAAAGACAGTTACTAACTGGTTATTAACACCTCTGTAGACTGATCCACACTAGTCAGTGATGCATTAACCATTAATAACTCCAGTAATTAAAGCTATAGTCTTTACAAAGGAGCCATTATCAGATAGTTGTACAGTATCACCATGTTTTATGAGGAAACAAATGTATTCACCATGTTTGTTATGCATCCAGAGACAAATGCGTTGTGATTAAACATGACTATGCACAGGTACCCCACAAATAAATGGAGTTATTTAAAGAGCCTGGAAAACAGAGCTCTCTTAACATGCTGGCGTTAGCATGAGCAGCTAATCTGGATGAACCTGGCTGCAAGAAGTCACACAAGAGTCTAAAGGTGCAGTCAGACCTAAATTCACTTCACGTCTGTGTGAAATGGTTGTAAGTCACAAACTAACCTGCCTCCTTGACTTTGCCTCAGTCTGACTGAACTTTGACCTGTGAAATCTTGTTCAGTATCCAGGTGGTTGGAGAGGGTGGCTCCACCTGAGTGTTCATTCAGACATAATACTGTTTGTATCTTGCTGAGGTTAATGAATTGTTACACCTCTGTGAACTGTTGTTAGCCTGCTAGCCATGCTAGCTCCTGATACACTTAACACACATGGATGTGACGCATCAACATAAAAAGATCCGAACTGAGCGTTAAGGCCTGGGATGTGGATGCAGCCAAATGTTTTGCCAGGTGGATTTTGGTGTGACTGCACCTTTAGAAGAATTTAATTGAGTTTAGCAGTAGCACAGATGAGGGCTGGATGTGTCGTGGCTGTTAGGAGTGTTATAACCACAGCTTTATGACTCGTCGATCATGTTTCATCCCTCTCCAGTCACTACACTCAGCCTCCTGCCATGCATCAGGCTCCACAGGCTCCGCCCCACATGCATCAGGTCCCACCCACCCAGCAGAGCTCCATTCAGATTCCTGTTGGCTCCGCCCCTCAGAAGGTGGTCAGCACCGCCTGCATCTACCCCTCCCATCCAGGTGAGAGCACTTGCAGTTTGATTTATGAGAAGTGATTCTGCCTCCTGTCCCACTGGAAGTTTTTTAAAGGATTGTCCTTGTCTCAGCTCCTGCTCCTGCTCCAGCACTGTCTCAGCCCCGCCCTCCAGTCGCCACCCTGGCCCCCTCTACAGCTGCTCTAGCCTCCTCAAACAGACCCCCTTGGGTGACTGACACCAGCTTTGCCGATAAGTTCGACCCAACTAAGACTACCACCACCACCATGAAGGTGCAGCAGCTGCCCCAGGCAGCCCCCCCTCCACCAGTGTACATCCCCAACCCCTCTCCCACTGCACCTCCAGCCACAAGCCCTGCCCTCATCACCCCATCCCCCGCCCCCCACGTCCCTGTGGCTAGGGGTGTGGTCCAAAAGGCAGAGAGGTTTGCTGCCAGCAACCGTACACCTCTGTGCGGCTTCTGCAACAGCATCATCAGGTAGGCCCCACCTGAGCCTTCACACCCTGCTGCTGCCGACCTTAGTCATGAACACAGCACGATTCAGTTTGCAGGCAACTGAAAACATTCCCCTCCTGCAGCTTCAGTTTGTTCTGTACTGCTCTGCGTTTACATGTAAACGGTAGTTACAGTATATGTACTAAGTATTGATGGTAACCAATATGACATAAATATTCATCTGAAATTACATGAATTTACCCTTTAACAGCTGTGAATCAGGTTTTAAGGGGATATATCATGAAGACTTTTTTTGGGTACCTTTGAGGTAAAAATTTATGTACATTTTGAGTAAATAACCTGGAATCTGCCCCTTATTTTTCATCTTGATTGAAAGTCCAGTTCCTGAATATACAGTCAGAGCTTTAGGAAATGTCCAGGAGCTGTAGGTGCAGTACAACTTATAAACACCTGTGTCACATGAGTGTCCCACTGAGAAACAGTATAACCTTGTTTATTTTGAACATTTAAGAGGCAAAATGAAAAAGTGATTTAAATCACAGGTGCAAAACCTGCAGGTGCGTTGATTTCACACCTGTTCAACAACATGAATAAACATGACCACGGGAGCCTGCTGTTGTTTCCAGGGGGCCCTTCCTGGTGGCCCTCGGCCGTTCCTGGCACCCCGAGGAGTTTAACTGCCACTACTGCCACAAGTCTCTGGCTGACGTCAGCTTCGTGGAGGAGCAGAACAACGTCTACTGTGAGAACTGCTACAAGGAGTTCTTCGCCCCAACCTGCGCTCGCTGCAACACCAAGATCATGGGGGTGAGACGCCCATGTACCTGTGTACTCTCTACCTGTGTACCCTCTACCTGTGTACTCTCTACCTGTGTACCCTCTACCTGTGTACCCTCTACCTGTGTACTCTCTACCTGTGTACCCTCTACCTGTGTACTCTCTACCTGTGTACTCTCTACCTGTGTACCCTCTACCTGTGGACTGTTGTTGTACCTGATTCGTTTTATCATCCGTGTGAAGCACTCTGTGATGTCTGCTCCCGACAGGTGCCACATAAATAAACTCACTAAATAAAACTTCCTTTATATTTGTGCTGAGTCAGGGTTTTTAAATCAATCTGGCACCTGTTGAAACAGGTTTGTGTGACTCAACGCGCCTCACAGATGACTGACAGCACAGATAAGACAGAAGAAATGTGCAAACAGAAAACAATTTGAGACAAATGCTCAGTTTCTGAACAGATGAAACGTGATGAATATAAAAACAATAAAAGTCATTTCAGTAGTTTAAACTGGAATAAAAACTAGATCTGAGGCAGTGAGACATGAGGCCTGCTGCATTTTCATCAGAAGCACAACAGAAGAGAGATCCTTCACATCGAGTATGACACTGTTAATGTTCATATGTGTGCCTGATTCCTGTTTTGAGACTTGAACAGTCTGTTGTTGAAGCAGCGTGTGTGACCTGCTGTGTCGTCCTGTGTCCAGGAAGTGATGCACGCTCTGCGGCAGACGTGGCACACCACCTGCTTCGTCTGCGCCGCCTGTGGAAAACCATTCGGAAACAGCCTCTTCCACATGGAGGACGGAGAGCCGTACTGTGAGAAAGGTAGGTGGCGCCAGCGTCGTCCTGAGCTTGGGTCCATCACACTCAGTGATGCCGCACACATGTCTAAAGAACCAACTTGTGTCTGAGTGTGGCACGATTTGCTTTGATGTGAGCAGGAGCGGCTTTAGGCTGATCACATGGTTGGTCACATGCACACACATGGACCCTCCAGGGCCACACTGTGCTTTCCTCACAGTTTGCTCAGTGAGACGTGCAGGAACACAGAAAACGACCGTGTTTAAAAAGTTCATTTTAATTGTCTGCAGGAGTAATTAACATGGGAAATGGACGACAGTCTCAAGTGGAACTGTGAAGCAGCTTCAGAGACTGCAGCTCAGACTTTAGTTAGAAAAATAGTTTTGATTCATCTGTTTGTGAGTTTTTTTTATTTTAGATCTGTCAGTCCAGGTTATGAGTGTTCCCCTGTTGGTAGCTCCATCAGAAGAGCTTGTTCCCACGCTGACGTCAGTCACTCTGGCTGGTTGTCAGCAGCCTAAGAAATGACAATAACCTGTGAAGAAAAAGTGGTGGGATACTCAGTGAGATGGTCTAATGCTCCGCTCCTGTCCTGCAGCCATCGAGGGTCTGCTCTGAAGCAGCTTCACAACCCTCTAACAGACAAAACTAAGTGACGTTTATGTTGAGGTGTGTGAGTAACAGTTCAGGAGCTTTACTTAAGTCCACAGGTGACTGATAAGTCCGCTCTTACCAGGCTCTGTGTGGAAGCTGTAGGGATGACCTGTCTCTGCCTGTCTCCCTCAGATTTTGTTGCACTCTTCAGCACTAAGTGTCACGGCTGTGACTTCCCGGTTGAAGCTGGTGATAAGTTCATTGAGGCCCTGGGCTACACCTGGCACGACACCTGCTTCGTCTGTGCGGTAAGAACAAGACAACCTCATCTGTCTTCTCCCACTACAGGGACCTGTCCAGGTACTTTATGGTTTTATTCGTCCAGGTTTTATGGTTCCTCCATCCAGTTTGCTTTTCCATCACAGCATAGAGCAGTCGAGAGGGTTTCCGATTGGCAGCTGAGCAAATATGAGCCTCAGACTTCATCAAAGTTAAATTAAAAATTAACTTCAGCTTTTATGTGTTTGGAAAGAGGTGCTGCTGCTGCATTTTTGTTTTTGAAATTCTACTGTTATTGCCATGCTGGGGCAAAAAGGAGAGCCTGCAACAGGCAGTCTAATACTAGTCCAGGAACAGTGGCATCTGATCGTGTCCTGAAGGTTTTCTGTTTTTCTGAACCCTCCCATCTCTGCTATGCCTGTCGGCGTTCTGTGGGAGAAGCCAGTGGAACAGTGTGAACACAGAGATTAGTGACTCCTCCTTCAGACACATCAAAGTGACGCCCGTTCTAATTAATAACTGGTGGACAACAGCAGCACAAACTAAATTTCGCTCTGTTGTTCATAAATCTCAGACACGCACATCACAAAACCTGGAGAAATGAAACCAGACTGATGTGAGTGCACAGATACCGTTAGAAGGAAGTTAGAAAATGCATGTGTTTTTTATTGGGGTGAACGGACTCTTGAAGGCTCCGCTCACTGATCTCAGAGCATGAACGTCAGCTCTCTGTTGTCATTGACTGCAGGTGTGCCATGTGAACCTGGAGGGCCAGCCTTTCTACTCAAAGAAAGACAAACCTCTCTGCAAGAAGCACGCTCATGCCATCAACGTGTAGACCCACCAGCTTCCTGTAGATCTGCTGCTCAGCGGGGCAACGCCGCCAGCTGCAATAACAAACACAAGCTGACAACTTTTAGACGTGTGGAAACACTCGTTATGCAACATACACTTTGGTTTGAGACATTTTGATGCATTAATATTAATATCTAAAACATTGCTGCCTGAAACAAGAACGTACACAACAACAAAGTTGTGCTTTCTGATGCTCATCCAGCCCACTTGATTATGTTTTATGTTGTTTTTGTGTGTGTGTGGGTGTTTTCTACCAGAAATGACGTGTTTGCTGTGGCCACTGTGCTGCCCAGTTCGGTTTCTGTGGAGTCTGGACAGTGCCAGATCAATTCAGATAACCTTTTCAGTGTTTAATTCAAATGAGCGACTAAACTCATAAATGTAAAAATACGTGTGGCTAGATATTAATGCAATACAAGTGTAAAATAAAGATGTTTAATAATGCAGCTTGGATAGTTCCTCATTTATGCATCTCTTTATACACTGATGACATACAACTAAATACATGTGAATGAAAATGTTCTTTTTAATAATTTTCTTTACTTATTCTGGCTTAAAATGACAAAGCAGTTAAAGTACTATTTTATTATTTATAAACAAATAAGTAAAAAAATATTACTGAGTTAATTGAATGCTTTTGTTTTCTTTATTCGAGACTCCAGAGTTTATCTCATCATATTGTGACGTGTCTCATTTTAACACACTTGTCTAGTTTTTGCTTTTTATCACTTTACAACTACTCACTTGTCTTTTTGCTTTTTATCACTTTACAACTACAACAAATGTATCAATGTTTGTTTCACAGCAGATAATAACAGAACCCACAACTAGAACCGTGAAGCATTACTTTTGTACTTCACAGACACAAAGGCTGTTATTTCCTGTTGTGTTTTGAAGGAAACGGTTGTCTGCAGTTTTGGTCTGGACTCAGCTGGTCAGCACATGAAGACACCTTAGCTGTGTCTAACGCGGTTGGAAGGGAGACTGGCAGTGAATGTAACACGGATGCTTTCAGAACCACCTGTCTGCAGGTTCACATATGAAAAACCAGTGATACTGTGTGTAAAATGTGTGGGTGACTTACTGACGAGCTTTCCTTTCAGATTGTGTCAAACGGTGTTAACGTGTGTCTGGTTCTGTGAACATTCTGAAATCATTAGAAACTAGATGTAACAGCTACATTTCTCCTCTACATACACAGCCGTGTGAGTGTAAACCACAGTCTGCAGTGTTTCAGTGTGTTTTCTAGGTGAACCTGCTCAGGTGAGCGTAGCTTCTAATCCATCTCTGACTTGCTATACAGTTGGTGTTACAGTGCAACACATAACCTTGAATTTTAAATTTCATTTCCTCTTTTGACTGTGTGATATTTATTTCAGAGCTGATATGTCATCACTGCTGCATTCAGTGCTCATCAGATCGTTAGTGTAACTCGTATGTTTTTTGGGGATGTTTGGCATCACGCGGTGTAATTTGAGTGTTATTTTAATGGTGGATTTTTTTCTTTTTTGTAATTACACTGTAAATGTTTGTTGCTGTTTGAACTGTAAATTGAATATTTCTTTAAAAGTGGCATTTTTCACTACTTAGCCACTGAAAGGCTCTGTTCACACTGTAGGCCTTTAACCTTTTTCATCATTTTGTTATATTTTTTGTGACTTTTACTTGGCATTAGAAACCCTCTGAAAACCTCAGATAATATATTTTTATTTTTATTTCATCTTGTGCACACAGGATTTAAAATATATATGTTTGGGGACTTCAGGGTTCTATAGCTGGAATTTACATCTCATAAAATTGATTGTTTAGTAACTAAAACAGAAGGTTTAAATGCTAATATTTTTCAATAGAACCAGCCTTGTTCATCAGACGTACCTAGAAGAAGCGAGGCTGTTTTCTGAGCGCTGAACTTTGTGTGGGGGAAAATTATTGGTTTGTATTTTTAGAAAGTTGTGGGTTTTCCCATTCACTTGGATACAAGCAGCGAGTTTTTAGTAGCATCTGGTGGCCATTAGAGGAACTGCACCTAAACAAACGACAGTTTAAAGCCTTTGTTTGCTCCTCTGGATTATGCTTTGTTAACAGCATGGAGAAGGTTAAATAAATAAAGGCCTATTAAACATCCTGTTTTCTGATGCTGTGCAGTGTGAACATGGCCTCATTTACACTGAATAGGTCGTTTAGAGCAAACATTTTCACATGAACATAAAAGACTTGGACA